TCCATTCAAAATTGCGGTTGTTAGTTGATATAGACATATAGTTCATTGCTATCTTTCTCAAATTGAATTATTTATCTTTACCTCTGTGAGACGAGTGTTTCTTCAGACAATGCCTTCTCCAATCTCTCTTCAAATGGTGTCGCATGCCAACTAACTTTTTGGTCCTGGTAAAAAAGTTTTCAATAGTTGAGAAGAGGGGGGAGAAAAGGCAAAAAAAGCCTCGCACAAGATAACTTGCCTCTTTGTACTTATGGGTAGAATTTGGGATTCCGTTTCCATCCCACCATTTAGGCGAGACATGGGATACTTCACTTTCGGTCCAATGAGCAGCAACCATTCCAAGTATCGGCCGATCTCCCTGAGGTATGCCGCTATGAGCACCACTTTGTTGGTTGAAAGGTGGTTTCAACCAAGAAGACAGACTTGCTTCAACATTCACATTGTTCTCCGTTGTCTCTGTGAGTCCTGTTTTTGGGGTTAAGTTCACTTCACTTAGCGATGATTTGGAATTAGAATCCTGAATGGATACGAAATCTTCTTCATCTGTCACCTTCTTCAACTGAGAAACATTCTCAATGGGGTTTAGAACGGCATACACGTACTGAGACCTGATGCGGGGATTCTTACCGTTTGGCAGATGTGTTGAAAAAACAGTGCCAGGTGTTTGCATCTCATCAGTTAGCTTCAAAGGAGTTGGGTAGGGAGAAGGCTTTGTGTTTCGACTAGTGACTTCAGTAGGCTTTCTGTCAGACTGGCAGTCAAAATGAACATGCCTTTGTCTACAAGCAGTTACTGATGGCCCTATTGGAGGCGAAGATGATGAGATTGAAATACTATTACTCTCTTCATCATAAGTCATGCAGCTGCAGGTTGAGCAACACATTCGGAAAAGTAAAAATTAATCATTTCAGTAAGAAAAAATAACTTATACTGTGATACACCCGTAGGAGAAAGAAGGTTATATGGATCAATATCTACGATGCCATCTTATCGAAGAAGAGGATTTGCAAAATTCTAGTCATGGAATGATAATGTGAAAGAATTAAAACAAACACATCTGATGGATTTTAATCCCGTCAATAAATCGTAAGCATTGGTAATGCCATGAACACAATATGACATTAAATTGCCACTTGGTAATAGGTAAGTAAGGTAACCACTCTTTTGGCCAAGATTTTATGCAATTCTGCCAATTTGTTTGACTGTGTACATGAGAAAAATAGAGATGGACGTACTCTTTTTTTAATACTGAAATGTCTTTTTCTTATATTTTTCATCAATTTAGCTTTTGTGATGCATTCTTTTTTAATTGATTGTTTAATGAAATGTAATTTAAACATACTCCTGCTTTCAATAAAATGTTTCACTTTTCTTTTTAGGAAGTTAAACGAATAATTCTTTCATTTTTCTCAACAATATTAGGGTTTGGGCATTGGGGGACAACAACTAAGCCAAAGCGGATAGTATTTTTTAAACAATGTGGCAATTTCAGCTACTACATTGATCTTAGCCTCGAGTTCAGCCAAAGTCACTCTTATGAAATGGGCTATCAATATGATTACAAAATATTGATGGCTTAGAAGCTACCATAAGACAGTCACTAGATTGTTCAGGATGCTACCTGCTAGGTGTATGGAGGGAAGAGCCTGATCCCTTTACCCATTCATCGCAAACTTTTGTAGGTTTGGGAGAGTTGTTAGGCTGTAATTCCAGATCTTGGTTCTCAATAGGTGTATCAGGGAGCCATGAACCAAATTTCAAAGGTTGATCAAGTTCCGCCTTCTGAGGTGACAAATCCTCCCTGCGTTTATTATTTCCTTTAATGGAGAGTTTTCGAATTTCAATTGGGGTCTCAGGTAAGGTTCCACAGGCTTTCAGGAACTTGGCCTGCCCAACAACATAATTTGACCAAAATAAGATAAGGCACATTATAAAAGCTCTAAAATCTTCATCTCCTATACAATAAGGTGAAATCTGTCAGCGAAAAACATAACTAAAATATCATTCATGATTTACTACTGAAGGCAAAAACTTTCATAATGAATCTGGACAAGGTTTTGTAGTAAGGCACCTGATCCTTGAGCTCATTTACATCCAACTCAAGCACTGGAGTTGGACAGCCCAGCTTCTCTACTCCCTTGGTTTGCAAACTACTGTGCTCTTCATTTTCTGTGTATTTTATATTTAAAAAAATGTGACTCGTCTTCAAATACTAATTCCTCACAATAGGAAACTTAAAATTATCAATAAATTTGGCAAAAAGGGGTTGAATAAAAGTTACCTTCAGAAATAAATAATGAAGAAAGTGGACTCCTATTCCTTGAGGCAACAGGTTCCTGATCGTATATTGAAACAGCTAGTATGTGATTGAGAAGCTCATAGAAATGAACAGAGATGCTAATGAAATTAGCAAATCCCGCAATCAATTATGTGAAAAATACAGAGGCTTCCATGATTAGATTGCACTTATCCGATTCATGCTTATATCATACTATTGAAGCAGTTCAATGCATATTCTGAAGAAAAATTTCACAAAATTGAAAACAAAACACAGAAATGAAAGCATACGTTGGCACCAGAGACACATGGAGAGGGAGAGGCATTATCAGAGGGAGGAAGATGACGACCAGCTCTGGAACCAAAGCGGCCTAGCCGGAAACAACCGAAAAAGCATCCCATCGCCGGAACAAGCGCTGTAGCCGCACATCTGACGCCGCAGTAGTCAAGTCAGCTAGCGGCAATCATTGTAGTGAGGCGGATGGATTGGATGGGAGCGAATCTAAACGCGGAAAATGCGGTAACAGCTGATTAACAATTAAGGACTTTCCAATCACATCGCTTGCGAATTGCAATTCAGTTCAGATGAAAAGTAACTGATACAGAAAGAGAGAGAATTTAAAGATGATGCTTCGTTCGCTGGATGGTGGTGGTAGTCCTGCTTCATCAAGCGTCTTTTTTTTGAAATTCGAACGGGGACGAAGAGGGAAACTTATTTCTAGGCATTCTAATCTTTTTCTCTCTCGTCTTTTTTTATTTACTTGTTTAAGACATTGTTTCGTTTGTAAAATTAATAATTCTTATTTTATTAATATTCTAATAAAATCATCATTTGACCCGACTCGAGCTCACCCCCAAACCATTCAATTTCATCCAATAAAATTGAATAAAAATAAACAAAAGTTCAATTTACAGATTGTTTTTTAATAACGTTAGTATTTTTTTATAAAACTTTAATGATACAAATTATATTTGAAAATGTTACAACTAAGCCTTGTCGTAATAGTTTTTCAAATTTGTAACACTAAACACTAATCATGCTCCCAAATCCACCCCAAAATACTCTTCACAATTGGTCTATTCACATATCAAATGTTTTTTAAAACTATTTTCGTTATTCATTTCATTTCTTATTTTATAGAGAATTTGATATACCCCGTGAATTTTTTATATACAAGTTTTATTTTGAAGTTTTATAACATTATTTAAATAAGAGGTAAATGTGAAAATTTTACTTTTTATTGTTGCGCATAGGGTTGGAATCTCACTCTGTAAAATTCCTAACTTGTAATCTCTCTTTCCCAATTTCATTCTCTCTATTCATTTATCTCACATTTTGTTACTCCATATTAATTTCCTCTATTATGTTTTGGAATCTCTCCCTCCCTGCAGTGATTAGTCTAATACTCCCTCCGTCCCGCTATATTCGTCCGCTTTTGACTTTTGGAACTGTTCATCTAAACACTTTGACTCATCAAATTCTCTCAATGTGTAAGCCTAAATATAGTCATGTGTGATCTTGTTTGATTTGTCTTAACATATAGATTATTAATATATAATTTCTATAATTTTTTAATATACAAATTACAAGATAAAATGGATTAAATAAGTGTATTGGATAGTGTGTAAAAATGAAAGTGGACAAATACTCTGGAACGGAGGGAGTATATTTAAATCCAAAATGAGACTCCGTATGTGTCTATTGGCGGCAATCTTTACAAAAAAGTGTTTTAACATTGGAATCTTTTGGATTCTAAAAGCCTGGGCTATGTTTAGCATTCAAGTGTTTTTGGACTTTGGCATAGAAATGAGATAGGAAGATGTCTTAGCATTTGAAGCTAGAAAGGTAGTATTATAATATATTCTGAGAGAATGCATTATTTCAGTATCTGAAATTGTGTTAGAATTCGAATACTACTACGCAGTATTTGAAAACTACCATGTAATATTCAAATGGTATTCAAAAAACTGTGTTAATTCACTCCAAATGTCATGTCTGATCTGATTTTCTCTATAAATATAGAGGTCTTATGCAATGATGAATTAAATATAGAAGATCATATACTCGGTTCTAAGCAATTTACTCTGTATGTCTTATATGATTGAAGTGTTCTGAAATACTACCACCAAAATAACTTTAATTCAAAAGAGATTAAGCCAGTCATAAAGTATATCCCACCCTTTTAACTATCTTTCTAACCTACCATATTATACTTGAACACTTTAACTCTTCTACTCCCTCTGTCCCATTTTAAATTGCATGTTTGCATTTTTTCTACGTTCCAAAATAAGTTGTTTGTTAGTTGTTTTCGTAAACTTTTAAAAATAAAATACCTAAACTACCCCTAAAATAAGTCACACTTCTTCACCTTATCTTCTCATTCATCATCACCCCTCCTAAAAAGTAATGTCAATTTCAAAAAATCAACTCTATTTTTTATTTTCCTTAAATATGCCCAAAAGTCAAAATAGGCAATTTAAATTGGGACGGAGGGAGTATATCGCTCAGTATAGGACGTGTATTAAAATGATTTCACTACTGATCATAATAATCACACTTTAATACAAATAAAAGGAAAGAGAACCAATAATTTGTGTTTTGAAAAAGGAAAAAAAATTGGGCAGTTTTGCAAAATATGTCCATTAATTTAGCTTTCATGACATAACAGAGTTATAGAATCATCCATTAATTCAATTTTTCAAATTTACTAAAAACAGCCTTTATATGATCTAGAAGTTAATTATCATTTCTTTTTCGACTACACAATACTTTAAATTAAAACAAACAAAGTTTAAACATGCAATAATAACTTAATACGTCATTTCGGCATAATCATCCAAAGTAAACAGACTCTGGATTTACCAAACTGCCTTAAAAATCTTACACTCGAACGTCACTAATATAAATAAAACACATAGTAGTAAGTCTAAAAACATTCAACAATAATAGTAACTGGTACATGGACAATCAGTGAAACGGGTGAGGCGCGTATACAGGCATCATCAGTTCAAACACCATCCATCACAGAAGGGAATAGAGATAATCGAAGCGTCCTACAGGAGGACTATTACAAGGGCGAGGGGGTGCTTGACCTCTCGTTCAACTAACCAACCATTGGCTCGGGATTGCCCGCTGCCAAAATATCCAAGAGAGATTCATGTGCCTCAATCTCTTCGTGCCATAGTGGAAGAGTGTCACCCGGGAAAAATTTCCTTTCGACACCTTCTGAATTTATCTGCACAAGTGTGTGGTTTTAAAAATTATGTGTTCAAGAGACATCAAATGGCTTTGTTGTGTTGCTGTTGCAACTTGCAACAATATCACTGTCATCTCCACCGGGAAGCCAAACAAGGTTCCCTTAAGGGATGTGTTGAACTCATCATCACCATACCGTTTCTATAATGGGACATGCCCACTGTGAAACGAATGATGATGATGATTGTGGTGGGAGCCTTATCGGGCCACTAAAGTTACTTGGAAAGAGGGATCGATGTTCACTATCCCTTAACACCAAGCATGTTGTAAAGTAACATAGATTCATTGTAATTTTATGAATATGGGACATGCACATTGACAAAGTAGATAGTTATAACTACTAAATCATCATAAGGACTTACAGTCACAGTTCGAACAACACCACCACTAGCCCCATCCCGAGCAATGGCAAGTGACACGGCTTTGACTACCAACTTCTGTGTAATGATTAAAGAAAACACACTGTCATTTTCAAGCCCACTACTAAAACAATCTGACGTCAACAACGCCTTGGACCATAATCATCACAAAAATCACAAGGTATGCATAAATAATTGAAATACTGTGTGAGTGTGTGCAATGTAAAGTAATGAATTTGCATTCAAATGAAATACTAATAACAATGAGATCGAGAGTAAGAGTAAACCTCAGCCTCTTCTTTGGTCATTCCTTCTTCCCATGCCTGATCAAAGAAGCCGTATAAATAGGAGGAACCAGATCCTGTGTGTACACTGAAATGCATCACAAACGTTTCCCCATGCAATATTTCAATCACAACTAATTACTATTAAAACAAGAAGCATTTAGAGCACAGCAACGATATTCATCTGTAAAGTTGCATTCTTGTATTCTCAGTATTTGAACAAAGTGCCTTTACACTTGGGCTGCCATGCTATGATGCATGGTCACAGACACAGCTATACAGACACGACACGACACCAACAAAAAACCACATGAGAGGTGTCCGACACACATGTACAACATAACACGATATGAAAAGTGACATTATTAGGATCAAAGCTGTGATCTCAGTGGTTTTGATCTTAGTAACATGAGTAAATGGGTAACTCATTTAGACTAATATGATTTTTGACAGATAATACAAAAGGGCAGTTTCAGAAAAAATAACCAAAAGTTGACCCAGAAAGGAAATAAACCTCCAATGGCAAATGGCAGCTCCAATAGTGTGCCTCCAAGAGGTATTCCATATATTTTGCCACCCTCATGTTTATCCCACCCACCAACGATAAGCCCAGTTTGTAGCATGCTCTAGACAATTCAACCAATGCAAAGCACATAATAACCATAAGATGAAATAACCACACATGGCAACATGTAACTAATACTAGTAAGTGAAAATGGAAATTCTAAAACTCCATACATGCATTGAACAACAGAAAATAACTTCATCACTTCATTATCAAAAATTAATTACCATCAAATTATTACACTCTAAAAACTTCGTGTATGGTACTATGGTCATGACTCAAAATTTGACAACTCCAAAGTCAAAAAATCGCAAAAATACTAAAGTTTAAGCTGGGAGGAAAAGTTGGACTAGTGTTACACAGTGACATAATTAGATCCCCCCCCCCACTCCCCAGGGCATTTGGATACCAAAGGCATGTATCCCTCTCTTAGTTGGAGAGTGGGGGTGGCAAGCATGTTTTGCTTAAGCTTCATTTGTGTCCCTCAAATGGGGAAATTACGGATGACAGATCAATGGCAATGCTTCAAGGTCAAGGGAAATGAACAAGAGTGGAACATAATGTCTTTGTGCCTATGTATGAGACAACACTTATGTCTATATGAAGATATCAATAACTTAAAAAGAATGTCATAGTAAGCAACTCTCCCGTGTAAAGGATATAAGCTTTATATGTAAAGAAATCACCCTATATAAGAGTAGAAGATAGAGAAAGTACCAAAATAGGAGCTCCATGTTTTTATCCCCAAATAGGAGTTTGCACTCTGAGAATGTAACACTGTATATTTTTGGTATTATATATTGGCATGATTGGACATTGTATATGCATTTTAACACCTATTTAAGGAATAAAAACATGGAACTCCTATTTTTGTATATTTTCTATGTTTTACTCCTACTTAAGTCTTTTTCCCTTGTATGTAATGATTAATGAGGCTGGAAGCAGCTCAGCTATGACAGGACAATAACTGAGATACTGAAAAAGCTAATAGCAAATTCGCTCTCCTGTGCTTCGTTGTTGCAAAGCTTTCGTCGCCAATGGAGCTAAAGGAGTCATTTCAAATGTTTAAGTTTGATTTTAAAATGGATTAAATAAAAATGGCACATTAAACTTCTACTTCTTACTTTCTAAAAAGTTTTGGGAAACATATGCAGCAATGCATCATGGGTATTGGAAACAACCTTTCTGAATCTCTGTTCTTACAGGGGTAAGGTTGTGGACATCTTGACCGCTAGACCCCAACAGAATTGGGATTATTTTTGGTTTGTGGTTTCTGTGCTTCACGGTTGCAAAAAATCCTTATGTGAGAATAAGGTGTTCGAATAGCACCTAGTGTTCTCCTCTCAAAACGCTATACCTAGTTCATTAATATGAAGCTTAGCAAATGCCCTAGCCCCTGTTTCAAGAAACCTAGTTCAGCCCAAGACCTGAAGATGACTGCTTTTGGTGTTTGGGCCTTTGACCTAAGGGTTCCTAGACAGCCACCTAGGCCTATTATTAAAATACTGGTGACAGAAATACATAGACAGTTTGAAAAGAACAAACATGTGTTGCATACTTCCACCGACAAGTAAAGCATGACAGATTTTCATTTGTTGCGCGAGAATAAGTTTGTAAGTGCAGAGTGCAGACCTTGTTATTGTAGGATAATAATCTGACAAGATTTGCAGTAACCTTGACAGTTGCAGGTTGTCCAAGTTGTATCCTGGATCACATGAAATCTCAAACTATTAAAATCTTAAATGAAGTTTCTATGTACAGTAGTATATAGTACCAAACTCAAATAGAACAAATTAGTGAAGAACCAAACAATGTTAGCAATACAAAAAAACTAGAAAGAGCTAAGAGAAGTAAACTCCAGGCCAAGAGGGCCAGACACGTCACTAATGCTTGATGAAGATGTTAACACTGTTGGTAGCTAAGAAAAAACATTTTATACCATTAGAATTAATACACGAGAGAGAGAGAGAGAGAGAGAAGCTTTCAGTGACAAACAAATATCATATGGGATCATAGCACAATACAGCTGAAACTTACGTGTGTTGATGGAGAAAGTAGCGAACATAGTCTGAAACAATTTGTGAATCTGCAGCCTATCAAAGAAATAGAAAATCAGCCAAACTGGACTTCGAGCAGAGCAACAGCTCAATAGACTAAATTTCAAAACCCAAACAATCACGTGATAGTTCAAAGGGTAGTCCAAAAATGGCAAACTTTTCTACTATAACTTGTCATATATTCATATTTGTCAATAGAAGAAACATATAGCGAAAATCACTCCCCTTCTTTTGCTTTTAACTCGATATTTTAATCATAGTTGAAACTGCTAGCTCCAAATAGGAGTGTTTCTCTATGCTGGTGCTTATTGACTAATTACTACGGAGTAATCAGGCACTTTTTAACTTATAAGCTGCTTATAAGTTAAGTATTCTTTCGTGAAAATAAAAATTGACTTAAATGATAGATAATTCTTTTGGAGATATTCGAGATAATTTTGTAAATTTTCTGGTCAAAATAGAAAAACAAAAAAACTAGATTAAAAATAAGTAGGTAAGACCTACTTACTTTTTATGACTTAGCATAGAAAAACAGCATTAACTGACTTATAAGTTAAAAATATCTTATAAGCACATAGAAACACCCATTATTATATCTTAGAAGTGGCCTTCTGAATCATTGTGTGTCAAAAACTCAAAATTTATCCAAACAATTTTGAGAGCCATGCTTTCAAGTTGATTAAGAATTTCAAGTGTGAATGGTTTTAGAGAGTGGCAAGAAATGAATGAACCTACCGATCCAGATCGACAAACATAGACATTATCAGTGAGCTTAGTGATCTTATCAGATGCCCTATTCGCCACATACATCCCTGCAATCAATTTCAGTTCCCACAAGATGCATAATAATGGACTAAAACCATACTATAATCACAATGAAATCTAACAAACGCCACTTTTTCCGATCACCAATTAAAATTCAGATAGTAAAGATCATCTAAAATTACCAGTGCTGGTACGAGAATCGGCACCGAGGACGACGCCGCCCTTGTATGTGACGCCGATAATGGTGGTTCCCATCGAGTGAGGGGAATCCAGCCCGTTGAGTATGCTCGACTCCATTCTTACGATAAACTTCAGCAGTCCAGAGAATGATAATGGAATCTGGATTGAGGAACGAGCAAATTGACGAGCCCTAGAAAGAAGATCGAGGAGCAAGAGTGGAAATCTGGAATAGAACTTAAAAAGGCCATTCTTTGCTTTCTTGTGGAGGAATAAAGGAGGACTGCAATTTAGCCCAACAATTATAAAAAATATCATTTTCAACCCCATATTTTTTTAAAATTAGTATATAACTTAAAATAAAAATTATATGGAGTACTCCAGTAGTATATATTTATAAAATACATTAAAAATTCTTTATAAAAATTAACCAAATTAAAGAATACATCTCTCATTTTATTTTCTTTTTCCTTTCAAAATTTTAAAACTAACATAGTGTAAAAAAATTGCACTAGAGAATATTTTGATTTTGTCAAAAAAAATAATTCAAGACTTTATGGTATCATACAAAAAAATAAGAATGGAAGTTAATGAATATGATATTGAACATCATAAAATCATAGTATAATTGATTTCTAAGAGCAAATATAAAATTAAGTAATTTTAATAGATTATTAGTTGATTGAATTGATGAGACCTATATAAATTTATAATGGTCTTAAATTTAATAATTTGGTACACTAGCTCGAGTAAGGATCAATCAATTCTATTAGGTAGTGTTTGGAAACTAAAAATCATTTGCAATATTAGATTTCAATTCCAATATTTGAAATCTCATACGTAATTTTAAACTCCAAATGTTGTTTGGGAAATCATAGAATTTCATTTATAAAATTTGAATTTTGAAGTCGGTAATGGTAACAGAAGCCGGTTGATATGCATAGAATTGTTGTTGAATGAGCGGAGATCACTCTTTAATTGCAATTTATAAATTAAAGAGAAGTTGACCTTGAATTTGTAAATGACACGGGAAGAGATGTGAATTTGTAATTGGCTTAATTTTGAATTAGAATATTTTGAGTTTCCAAATAAGTAATTTGGATCAATTTCAGGTCTGAAATCTAAATTCAAGTTTTCAAATACCCTATTAATGAAAATTATTTCAAACAATCTCACATTTCTGCATTAATATAAATTTTCTAATTTGATGTAAGGGTCCGTTTGGTATACGGAATTGACGGAATTGGAATTGAATTAGAATTGAAATTAATGGGATTCAATTCCATAAAATTAAATTCTACCAATTCCAATTCATTTTTTTCCATTATCAATTCCAAATCCACATAATTTTTGTGCTACCAAACACTAAAATTGGAATTGAATTTCTCAATTCCAATTCCATAGTTTGAATTTCGTGTACCAAACGGGGCCTAAAATAATTTCACCTTTTAGAATTGTTGTATACCATAAGCCGTCTTTACCCCAACGGAAAAAATGGACTGACATAGAAATGTTTTGTCTTTAAGCAAAAAAATCATATTTTTTAAGGTTAAATATGTTTTTGGTCCATATAAAATATGTGAATTTTGTTTTTGGTCTCTATAAAATATATTTTTGTTAAGTCATCCTTACAAAATTTTTAATTTGTAAATGGTTCTTAAACACAATTTACACTTTAATTTGTTGAGATAACATATATATTTCGTACTAAACATCATGATCTTGCATTTCTACTATCTTCGATATAATTCACATGCCTTAAATTGTACCCTTGTTCATATTACATCTTTAATTCTCAAACTTTTAAAGAATATAGTATAATAAAATTTGAAAGTTGGGAGTGTAATTCGGTGAAAAAGACGATCTATGACATCAAAATTGTGTATTAAGGAATATGAAATGCAATATTAAGATGTTAAATACGAAGTAAATGTGTTATCACAATAAATTAAAAGTCTAAATTATATTTAAAAACCATTCTAAAAATAAAAAAAATTGATAAGGATGATTTAACAAAAAAAATGATTTATAGAGACCAAAAACAAAAATCACTTATTTTACAGGGACTAAAAACATACTTAATTCTATTTTTTAAAGTACTCCATAATACATACAAGAATACAAATCCATTTCTTCTATCCAATAAGTCAACTTTTAAATTTAGGGGGGTGTATTCAATTCGGATTTTTTAAGATTTTTTTAAACTTTAAAAAGTTGATGGATTTAGAAATCCATAGACTCCATACAAAGTTTGACCTAGTTTTTAATGAATTTATCTAGATTTTGGAAGTCTGATGAAAGTCTGCATCACAATCACCTTCATCATCGAAGGAGGCCAAAGAGCAGCGAGTGTTGAGATAATCTGAAATCATTCGCTAGAATCAAATATGGCTTCACCATCACCAGATCCTATGGATGATGGCAGCTTCAGAGCACGGGTTCACAAAGTTTTCAGGTTGCTATCTTCGTCACTGTTGCCAATCTCGGCGGTGTCGAAGCCGCTGTGGTCTCTCACAGACGACGAGTTGGAGAAGCGAGATTGGAATCGAAGTAAATCAAAACTTGGCCAAGACAACGAGATTGGGTTCGGTGACATCGATTGGGTCACTGGCGACGACGACGGTGTTGCCGCTGCACAAATCCAAGGAGAAGATAAAGCCTGGTTGCGTCGTGAAATGTGGATTAGTAGGAAAAGAGGAGAAGTCTGCAAAATCTCTGGGATGTTGGTCGGATTTGGAGTATGGATTTGTAGGCATGAAAATCCATCAAAATCTACATTTTAAAAAATCTTTAAAAATCTATCAACTTTTGAATACAATCATATTTAGAAGGATTTGTAAAAATCTAAATTGAGTACACCCAAATTCTAAATGACTTTTTAAAATCTGAATTGAATATTTACAGACTTTTGAAATACAAAAAAATCCATCAGAATCCTGATTGAATACACCCCCCTTAATGTACTCATATCATACTACCATTAAACATTTTTTTATGTATAATACGTCAATATATTTAGCTCACTTAGAAAAAACATGCGTCCATTAAATAACGGAAAGAATTGTTAGTGAACTTCATTAAAAATTAAACCAAAAAATAGCCGCTCAAATGCCCGTTTTAGCCAAAATTTCCAACATTTTCTTTAAAAACCTCTAACTATTTCCTATCTCACATACAAAAAAACATTACCCAAACATTTCTAAGGCAAAAACTAAGTTTATCAAGATTTCAATGATCGTATCGGTATTTTCATGGGAATTATGAGTACATTTCATGAATTGACTAGCAACTTTTTAGTGAAATCTGATTCTTACAATTAAACCTCCTCTGTGGGAGTCATTTTTATTACAGTATAGATATAGGTATTTTATATATATATATATATATATATATATATATATATATATATATACATACATATATATATATATATCAATATTAAATATTAAAAAAACTATCTATGAGCCTCCTTGCTCTTGATCTGAGTTTGCAGATGAAATAACAATAGGTATATCCAAACTGCTCCCATCTGTTTCCGGTCCGACCTCTCTTACATCAGCTATGGCCGGCTCTGTGGCTTGAATATCACGTTCCACAGCATCCGACACACTCAAACAAGCTTTATCCATGTTCTCCTCCGATGGATCCATATGCTTCGTTTCCAGGTGATTATCATTATTAACAGCAGCAGCATTATTACTACTTGAGCAAGACTCGGCTTTCTCCTCAAACACTTGTTTGGCGTCGCTAACCTGTTGCCTGCCCACAAAAAATAATTGCCAAGTATCTTTAGAGGTCTGTTAGGATTTGGAAAGTGCTAGGGGAAGAAAATAGAGAGAGAGAGAGAGAGAGAGAGAGAGATGGGGCATTTGGTTAAAAGACATAACTTATTCTCAACATTTTTTCCAACTCAAGTTATTTATGTAGAGAGAGAGAGAGAGAGAGAGAGAAAGAGAGACTGAACCAATTATTTTTCCTTCCCCAGAAATTTGTCCTTCCTGGTTTTCCCCTTGTTCTCCATATTTTCAATTTTTATTAATTCATTGCATTTTCTGGGTTCCAAACGGACCCTAGATGATCTTAGAATTCTCTCACGTGAGTCAAATTCATCTAATGCAATGACATATTTCTCATACTAGAAATTTTTTATTTTATCTAAAACCACACAATTCAATTGGTTAAAATGAGGTGAGACAGATCTGATGGACAGGGTAACCACTATCTAGAAGAAACATTTGTAAGGCGAAAGATAAGTAAGGAGTATAAAATAGAAAAAAAATTACTGTGTACCTTTTAAGTTGCGATTGTAGCATAGTCACATAAGCCAAGAGTTCTTGTTTCTCCTTCACAGCAGCAGCCTCTCTTTGTGCTGCATCCTTTATTCTAGCTTCAGCATCAGCCTCGGCCACCCGGACCTTTTCTTCTGCCCGAAATACAGCTCCTTCCATTATGACCACATGTTCTCTGGCTTTTCCCAGCTCGTTACGCCATAAAAGTGCTTCCTCGATTGCTGAATCTCTGTGCTTTATCGCTTGATCTCTTTCCTTAATCAGAGAGGAAATCTTTTCCTCAAATTCCCTCATCTACAAAACCAATGGAAACTTTTAAATCAATATTTCATGAACAATGCCTAATATGAAAGCATAAAGCCAAAGATTATACATTAAGTACCACAACCATTATTTTAAAAAAAACAAAAAAGAACCTTTGACATGTATGACTCCAATTGCTGTTTTGAATCTCTTTTTAAACGCTCGACCTCGGCACATGCAATTTTCCTTTGCTCATCCATTATATGAGCTGCAGAAGCAGCACCCTCTGCAGCTTCAGCAGTTTCTGATAGTTTCTCTGCTAGTTCTTTTATTGTTGAGTCCTTTGCACGAAGTTCCCTAGCCAAATTTTGCAACTCTTCGTCCTTAACTTTTAGTGTCTCCTGTAGTGAGCAGATGCAGTTTATGATATGATACATTTCTATATTTTGCTATAGAGATCATTAGCCCAACAACGCAAATGGAAAGATGCTGGTTGATGCCATTACAGCCACATTAGTGCAAGCTTGTTTATAAATAAGAGAAGTATGAGATTGTCACCAATATCAAGTAATGTAGTCCAATAAGCTAACCTGAGAAATATTGATAAACAAAGTAGCAGACTGGAATATAAAAAGCCAAAGATATTTAAGGAGACAACAAGTCATTTTTATTCTATAACAAAGAGTGACATGCACTTCACTAGGAGATATAGAAAGTGAAAAGTTTTTTAACCCGTCGTACGTCCGGCATGAACACCATAAAACATGCAAGAAATGCCAAATATAATACTCCCTCCGTAGCTCAGACCACCAAAAAAGAATCATGTTTGAAAGTATATTTGTCCCAGAAAAGGTTCTATTAAACCAAAGAAGCTAAATTTCATTATATTTTGGTTTTGTTTATTAAAAAAAAGTCTCGAACGAGTGGAGTGTGTTTAAATTATAGCAACAAATAAAGTTAGAAATATAGCTATATTTGACCATTTTCAATAGTTGTACCTTATTTAAAAATTAAACCATTGTGAAAAAAGACTTCTTTTTTGGACGGATGGAGTACACTAAACCATGCACTTCTCTTCCATCTCATGTCTCTCTCCATAATAGAACAAATAAAAGGAAGTGGGACCACCGTTTTCATTGATCTCCCCGCTTCTCTTATTCATGAACAAAAAATCTTCGTATCCCTCATATATCTTTCTCTCCTGTTTCATTTCAACCAAACAGAGGCTGAAAGTAGGAACTTATCACCAACATCCTGCTCTTATTGGGAACTAGGGTCAGGGGGGAAACCCGAACAGGAATTCACTAGAGACTACAGTACAATGCCTATACAACCATTCAATTTAACATAGTCTTATACTATGTATTACCTTCATAATTGTCATATCATCCATAGGGCTGTCAGGTGTATGGATCCGAATTGCTCCTAAAGCATTTCTCATGGAGATTTGCATTGCAGCTTCAATATCCTTTGAAGCTTCAAGGGCAGTTGAATTAGCAGCAGCAACTACAGTGGCAACTGTTCCCAACTTGCTTGAACCATTCCCACTTAGTGAATTCACAGCCTCTTTATGAGCCTTTAAAACCAGCTGTGTTGCACTGATGTTATACAAGGATAAAAGAGAAGAAACATAAGAACACNCGAACAGGAATTCACTAGAGACTACAGTACAATGCCTATACAACCATTCAATTTAACATAGTCTTATACTATGTATTACCTTCATAATTGTCATATCATCCATAGGGCTGTCAGGTGTATGGATCCGAATTGCTCCTAAAGCATTTCTCATGGAGATTTGCATTGCAGCTTCAATATCCTTTGAAGCTTCAAGGGCAGTTGAATTAGCAGCAGCAACTACAGTGGCAACTGTTCCCAACTTGCTTGAACCATTCCCACTTAGTGAATTCACAGCCTCTTTATGAGCCTTTAAAACCAGCTGTGTTGCACTGATGTTATACAAGGATAAAAGAGAAGAAACATAAGAACACGATATAATCAAATATGCCATACAAAAATATGACATGACATATGATAAACTGATATATTGTCTGCATGTGGTAGTATCAGTTTTTTGTTTTACTTCATATTTCTTTTGTGAACAAAATTGAGATTTTGGGTAAAGAACAAACATGTATTATATAATTATATACTGATCTAAGTACTTGAATTACACCCCCTCTGCTTTTAATAAAAGTTAAACTAAAAAAGGAAAACAACACTCAACAATCAAAATTTCAATATTTGCGTCATAAAAACAAAAAACTAAAAGGGATTAAATATTCTACGGAGTACTACCGGTAATTAGCCGACCCCACCTATTGGGATAAGGCTTTGTTGTTGTTGTTGTTGGAGTACTACAGATAACATGGGAAAGGATTTTTTCTTTGGGGGGGGGGGTTGAAAACCATGAAAACATATATTTTTACTCACTGCAATGTAGACACCCAAGCTCTAGCTGCAGCTGGGGTTTCTGCACAGAGGAAGTAGTCTTTCTTCTGTGGTGTCCCAATATCTTTAGTAGAGTTAAGAATCAAAGAGTCAAGAGGCTGTTAGAAAAGCATTTAAACAAGCATTGCAACTTAGGGGCTCCCCTCTTTAAAGTCAAACAGTCTCTGGTCAAACCTATTCATCCTAGCTCCCTCCATGCATTAGGAATGGATACTCTGAACAAAAAGAGAGAAAACAGAAGCTGCTATCTAAAAACAAGAATAACGACAATATGAGATACTTGAGAGTTGAGATGGATACAGAAACAACAGCCATCATATTTAGGAAGCCCACTGCACAAAGGGGGGAAATAAACAAATCATTGACAAGAGAGAATCAAGTTGTTGGAGATGGAAAATGTATCCAGCCAGCACGATTACTCCTCAAAATGGTATAAAAAGCTTACTGGATATTCATAGGTGATATGGTTATTGTGCTATTTGCATCAAATAAAATGGCCCCCTTAGTTGTTGGTTCATTCCTTTTGGCCCTAGAAACCCAAATATATTGTGTGAACAACAGTATTGTATACATAATACAACACGATCAGCAGAGAATTTTACATTTCAACAAAAAAACTTACTTGTATTCCATTTTTCCGGTTGTAGGGTCTAAGATCACCCATCTTTCATTCCATTTTCTCAACTATTTTTTAAAAAAAAAGGCTTTCACAGTCAGCATTAACTCTTGTAGATAAAAAATAAATAGTAAAAAGAGATAGAAAATAGCAAAAAGTATGATAATGAGTTAATGACTGGATAATATATAGAAACACTAGCAACTCTATATTCTCTGTAATGGTGCAAAAATGCACATTCATACTTGCATTTGAATACATATAATTATATAAAGAGAAATTTCATTGAAAAGAAACAGGAGGGGAACAATTAAGTGAACTTTTAGCAACATACAACCAAAGAAGAAGCACTCAGCTATCACAAGATGGTTCACAAGATGATAGCTAGCAACTACCAAGAAAAACATCTCAAATACAAAAGTGAATGCCCGATTAAGAGCCTGCCCAATATTATGTAGCAGCTACTATATCAACTTCCTTCCAACTAGACACGTGTGCTACCTCATGCATTCATTCAGATATATCTTTGTATATATAATCATATACAATGAGCAAAATGACTTCAGAACATCTCTTTCAGAGTTTCACAAGAGAAACAGTGGGAGAAGAGTGATATGGCACCTCCAATATCTTAGATTTTGGATTATGAGTCAGTTCAGGTTGTGTTGATATGGCAAGTTTGCAATGAGCTGGGCCAACAGTTAGTCACTTAGGAACAGGGGTAACTTTCTTTTACGAAGTATTAATTATGAATACTATTGTATGGATTTCCAAGAAAAAAATTCTTAAACCTTAGGCTAAACCTATGTACCTACAAATTCAAAAGCGAAAAAGGTAACAAGAAACCCCAGCTTGCCACCATGCATCTGCCTATGACAGGACACACAATACATTTCAAACTAAGCCTGGTGCAATAACACAATTGCCACTTGGAAGTTGGAACTCACTTGACTATGATAATTAGTCAACCTAACTCGGAGATGAACTGCCTGCCTCTTGAAACTCACTTGACTATGATTATTAGTCAACCTAACTCGGAGATGAACTGCCCATATTGTTTATGTTTACAACTTTACGCTACGAGTTATTTTCTTTTTAATCCCATAAGTGTAGTGAGTCTAATGCCATCTCCACATTTAGTCCTTTCTTAATTTAACCCAAAATAAATTCTACGCTTTTTGAAGTCCATTGCCAATGGAGCCTTGGTTTGGTTGACCTTTGGGCTTTAGCTTGCAGTTCATGCCAGTGTAATTCTATGCCTTGGTATGTAGTTTGAGCATTTGTGCTTTGGGTCTGAGTTGATAGTGTTGATATGTGTGCTTCTTTTAACTATGGGGATCTCTTGGAAACAACCTATCTACTACCAAGTATGGCAAGGTTTGTGTACACACACCCACAAACCCTACATTTTTGAGAGTTTACTGAGTTTGTTGTTGCCAATGAAGCAAAAAGAGTCACTTTTTACGACTTTTAAGCTTAGGTAAATAATGGATTAAATCAAAATGACACAATAAGGTTGTGTACATCTTAACCCTTCCCCCACCCCCATCCCCAAATACCACAATAGAGGTTGGATGATAGTATTATACTGTGTTGTTTTTTAGAGAACCACCAGCAAATTTGAGGGTAACATAGAAATTTGTAAAACTAAACAAACTACTCATTCTCCATAACGGGTTGAGGACAAAAAAAGCAACTTTTTGTAGATTCTTTAGGCCTAAATTTTTTGTAATAAAATCTGAGAAGCAACCAGCTTCTTTTCCTTTTATGGTGATTGTGGATTTCATGGAAGACTGTTCTTGTAGAGAGCTTACCTGATTACTGCATTATGAAATTGGCACCACAATCCCAATGTTAGATGCTGACAATGTATACAACATTAGATCTTCCTCCGACTTAGCATGTCGTTATGTTGTGTTAACCAGCCATCGCCGCTCCATATGTTGACATGAGAGCTCACCTCTCTTGTAGCTTTCCAACTGGATTCACTAACCCTCTTTACACATTGTTTTATTAGTATGAATGAAATTTATTTCTTTCCCAATAACAGCCACCTCATCACCATAAGCGGGGTGTTGTTACTTTGGCTATTTGACCTACTTGATGTACCGTCGTTCACAATTGATGTTGTTGATGGAAGGAGACACATCGTCGAAGTTCAGTTCTAGAGTACTAATGTTTTGGATCCACCCCTCGGTGCTTTTATTAGTTTCATATCCATCCTTGAGGCTCGTGCAGCATGTCATTTTTCCTAATCTATTCACATCTGGCACCATCTACCTCTATATCACCCCCCCCCCTCCCTAACTTCTTTTGGTTTAACCATTAACACGTTATGTGAAGCTCAATACATCTCTGTATAAACTTGTATATATGTCTAAAAACATATGCATTACATTATTCTTAGTATCATTATGTATTCTCTTTTCTTGGTTTGCTGTGTGTATTCTGTGTAACAGTCGGAAGGTAGCTATTTTCACTTGTGGGAGTCTTCTTATTACTTAATGTCAAGATGAAGTGCACAGATTTGGTGTTCATCAGGACAGCACATGAGACAGCATTCCTCACAAATATGGAAGGGTTTAATTTTAAAGGAGTTGGTTGCGAGTAGGTGCAACTCTTAGCCATTATTTGTATAGAAGATCGAGAAACCAGATCAACTAATTACGCTTAATCCAGCAATAACTTCAAAACGAAATCAAACTCCACATTGTAAACAGGTCTAAGAAGCTAAGGTGTGAGCTTACAGTCTCGGATCGTTTCAGAAGAGGACCCTGGAGCAAATTGCGACCCGACCCGGAAGCCAGCTGCCGTTTGATCTTCTCTAAGCTGGTCTTTGTGTTTTCCGCCCCCTTAAGTTGATTTGAGAAAAAAAAAGATGAAAATTCAGATACCGCTGCATTCACACTGGCGTGTTTGTGCAGATAGGCTGGGTAAAACGCTTTTATAGAGAGATATGCGTATAGAGTACATACCGGAGAAGCTCCATTAGAAGCCATGGCGACACAGTGAAGAAATGACGATGATCAGATTGTGGCGATTCCCAGGTCGAATTTGGGAAGGGCTTTGGTAGGGGAAAAGAAAGTCAAGAAGCTAGACCGGCTCCGGCTGCCGGGTGTTTGGTTAAGGGGAGACTACTTGAGACTTGAGAGTTGAGAGGTAGGGGATGAAATAATTTTGATTACATTTTCCATTGGCAAATCAAATAGTGAACCTCCATATAAAAAAACATTTAAAATAATGGGTAGAGTAGTTTTTATTCTCAAAATAAAATTAAAAGTGTTTTCATTTCAAAATTAAATTATTATAGTGTTACAATGTTATACTTTCTCAATTCCGGAATAGATTATAATATTTTTTTCTCTCTCTTCTCGATAACTTTGTTTATTTGTATTTTTTAATTGAGTATTTGGTAAAATAAAATATTCTTGTCACCTCTCATTTTATATTTAGGTGTAGTTTTTTAATATGTAATCTTTATTTTTTATTGATGTACTAATTTGTAAATAGAATGGTTTCAAAAGACGACAGGTTTCGCCTAGTAACTCCCCATTTGTAACCAAATTAAGGACGGAGGGGATATCGTATATTGACATTTCATAGTATCATTTTTAGAATAAAAAAATGAAGGTTTTGTTTTACTTTTGTACTTATGTTTCACTCATATTTTTAGGAGTAGTGATAGTCACACCCATTAAAACTCTAAATACATCATGTCAACTAAATACACTCCATAATGTATAAGTATGTTTACAACAAATTCATGATCGTCCTTTTTGACGATATATTCATTACCGGCATTGGCGCTCTCTTGTTACAATATGGGCACCCATTGACATTCTTAAGTAAGAAGCTCGGGCCACGCCATAGGGTTGTTTCCACATATCATAAGGAGTTATATGCCATTGTGGAAGCCGTCTATAAGTGGCGCCAATATCTACTCAGTCGCGAATTTGTTATCCGAAGTGATCAGCGCAGTCTCACTGAGCTTCTTCTCCAAGTTATCCAAACTGTAGAACACGAATTCTACATCCGCAAACTAATGGGGTTCCAGCTTCGAATTGAGTACAAGTCGGGGTCGGCAAATCGGGTCGCCGATGCCTTATCCCGTCGCGAGGACAAAAACATAGTGGCGCAATTTCAGGCTTTTGTGTGGCCACTTCCTTCTATCATGCACACCATCTGCGAGGAGGAGAACACTTCGTGCTGGAGCTTCGTGCCTTGCATCAGGTCGTATCCGAGGGGTCAACCTCTTCCTCCATCTTCGTTCATCACAACGTCCTCTACTATCGGGATCAGATCTACATCAGCTCTACCTCCCCGTTACAAGAGCAACTATTAGCCGAATATCACAATTCACCATTGGCCGGGCACCAAGGGGTCGAGCGCACGTGTCGGTGTCTTGCCCTTGTTTTCTACTAGCTGAATATACGCCGGGCAGTCCGGCAGTTCGTCGCTTCTTGTGCGATTTGTCAAGCCACAAAGTACTCCACGCAGAAACCTGCATGCCTCCTCCAACTGTTGCCCATTATAGATCGTGTGTGGGACTCCGCCTCCATGGGCTTCATCACCGGGTTACCCCCTCCCCACGGTGCCACATTTATTCTCTTGTAGTTGATCGCTTAACAAAGTACTCCCATTTCAGAATCTTGCCCACCGGATTTGATGCCCTGCTCGTTGCGTAGCTCTTTATCGATGTCGTTGTCAATCATCATGGCTTTTCTAGGGGATATTGTGACATACTCTATATTCACGAGCCTTTTCTGGAAGGAACTCATGGGGTTAAGTGGTACCACCATGGAATTCAGCACCGCGTACCACCCGCAGACAGACGGCTAGACAGAGGTTGTCAACCGTAGCCCAGAATAATATTTTCAAGCTTTTGCGCACGAACGCCCAACCAAGTGGTCTGTTTTTCTTCCCTGGGCAGAATTGGTGCTCAATTGCAGTCATAATGAAGGGATCAACATGTCCCCTTATCGAGCTCTGCATGGTCGGCCTCCTCCGTCTATTTTCCTGACAATATTAGTGCCTTCACATGTTGCCACCATTGAAGACATGTTGCGCGAACGTGCGGAGCTGCTTGCCGATTTGAAGGTCCACCTTACAAAGATGAGGCAGCGGATGGTGGCCCAAGCGAACCAACACCGGCGGGATGTTTCATTCCAGGTGGGCGATCAGGTGTTGCTACGTCTCCATCTCTACCGCCAGCACTCCCTCGCCTGGCCGGAGTCTAGAACTCACTCGCCGATACTATGAGCCGTTTGAAATTTTGGAGCAGATTGGACCGGTTGCCTACCGTCTGCAGTTGCCTGATGGTTGCCAGCTTCATAACATTTTTCATGTTTCTTTACTGCGGCCTTTTGTTCAGCGTGGGTCAACCCCTCCGTCCGTTAAATTGCTGGATACTTTCTACAAAGGTTGGCCGATTTCCGTTCCCGTCCGCGTAGTGGTAGCCCGCACGGTCCTGGTCAGCGGCATGGCTCTAAAGCAATGGCTCGTGCGTTGGTCAGATGGCTCAGACTTAGATAATACATGGGAGCGCGTTGAGGAGTTGTTGCGGCACTTTCCCACCTAGGCCTTGAGGACAAGGCTGTTGTCATCCCCGGGGGAGGAGTTGATACGGAATGCAGAGACGACACGCAGGATGATGTACACGTCCACCGGCTCCATTAGGCCCCGAGCATTCTTGACAGGCCGTTCGCAAGCCGAGAAGATTCCAAGATTATGTCTAAGCTTTTATTATTATTATTATTATTATTATTATTATTATTATTATTATTATTATTATTATTATTAGATTTTAGTAGGTGAGCAAATATAAGCTCCTTTAAGAATTTTTTTTCGTTTCTTTATCTTGAAATCTTTTTTAACCGACAAGATAGATAACTAGCTATACTAGGATTGGGGCACTCAACTCTATTTAAGGAGTGGATCAACTCATATCATATCATCAGGATAATAAAAACTCTTTCTTCCCCTTAAACTTCTTTCTCAAACCCTAGCCTCTTCTCTCCTGCACCCCTCACGACCGGGCTTTCCCTTGCCGCCGGTTGGTGTTTGATATTATTTCACTATAATCGCTCCACTCTATTCTCTTTGTGACATATCTGATATTACAAATTTAAATCCAAACACATAAATTCATTTTGATTCAAATGCTAAACAAACATGAATGCAAGGATATTCAAATCAACTCATATTGGAATGAATACATAAATATGCAAACAACAACATAAATAAATAAATTTCGTCCATTCTATTTTATAAATCATACTTTTTCCAAATTGAAAGTTTAACCAAAGCAATAAATGTAATATAAGAATATTTAGGCCATGTTTTTTTTGCTGAAAAAATTAACTTTTTAATTTTTTCTAATTTCTTTTAGTTTCTTCCAAGTTCTTCTAATTCTTTCTAACTACTGCCAGTTTCTTCCAATAACGACTTAAAATATACTCCGTATTTATATATGATGAATATACAATAACATTATATATCTAAATTTATAAGATGTCACCTCAAACACATACAATGATGAATTCTTTTTTATCCAAAAATAAAATCTTCTTAAATATTAATTTGGGTGATCATCTAATTGAGCAATTTTTTAAAACTTTAGTTCTTCCAATAATTTCTAACTTCCTCATATTTTTTCTAACTTTTTCTCATTTTTTCCAACATCCAACTCTAAAATTTTAACACAAATAAACACGGTCTTAATATGTTTTCATATTGTTCCATCCAAATATCAATCGTAGATCTGACCGAGATCGGTATTTGTACAGACCAAGAAAAGAGGAAAAAAGTTGAAGAAAACCTCCTTCTTTAGTATTTTAAGGAAGTTTGTTCCCCTAATGATCACCATTACTTTTTTAAAGCTTTTTTATTTAAAAAAAATTATGCACTATTGATGTTTAATATTTTCTCCCTTTTTCCTTGGAAAATTCTTAAAAACATATTTATATAAGTCGAACAACGGAACATGCAATTTTTTACTATTGGGATAAACAGTTTTTATTTTAATTTTCTAAGAATATGCACATGGATGGAACTTTTTTTTCCTTAGTTAAAAATATTGAAAAATATAATGTACATATGAAGTACGGAGTATTAATTAATCTATCCGTCTCAAAATTATCTTTTCGATCATTATTCACATGCATGATCAAACTAATGATCAAACTTTATTCAATTTGTTAATGTATTTTTGTTGTTCACTCGATATAACAATATAGTCATGTCACTTCAAACTTTGTAAAATGTCATTTAAATATATAATTTTTATTTTTTCAATTCCACACTATTTTTCCTACTCCATAATTAAAAAATAACTTTGATTAAATTGGCTATTTTAAGCATGTACATACTTGTATTAAAAGTCGCGGGCCCACACGTGGTGGAACATAAGAAAACCACAGAGCAGAAGAAAACGGAAAAAGGCTGTTTTACGATTCCCTCTCCCACGGGTTCCTCTTCCCCTTTCCCCCTTTTCCATCGGTCCATCCCGCAGCAATATAATCCGGCGCCCGGCGTGCAAATGTACATATTACCGAAACCCCAGCCCTCTCTCTCCCTCTCTTCTTCAACCATCATCTGTCCTCCATTGTAAGTCGGTTCCTTAATTGATCGCAGTTTTATCGTATATTGGCCATCAAAATGTTGAATCGCTCTCTGTTTGCTTTTGATTTTGTGAACTTGATGAACAGAATGGTTCTCATGGGTTTCTCATTTTAATGCATCGTGTTTTCTGGAGTAATTGTTATTGATAATTATTTTTGATGAGAGAATAACACTCTCTGTATGTACTTATTACTCCGTACTTAATAATGGCGAAACCAATCACTGTTCTGTTTGATCATTTTTTAGTTTATTTTCAGAAATTGTTTCTGATGAGGTGTTATGGTATGCTTTTGTTGCAAGTTCTTACATTACACACATATATACAAGAGTATTCGTTCCGTTTGACTTTTTCGAGTCAAACTGGATAATCTTTGATCGTAAATTAAACAAAAATTGTATTAGATATTAGTACAAAAACGATGTCATTAGATTTATCTTGCGAAAAACTATAAGAATTTTATTTTATTAGATTAATTTATAATTCAAATATAATGTAATTGAGTGTTCAAATTTGATGAATACCGTGGGGCGGAAGGATGAGTTTATACTACTTCTATCTCAGTCTTTCCCTAAATTCTAATTTGTTGTGTTTTTTCCTTTTTGGGGTTTCACGCCAATTTAGATACATTTATTTGCAATTATAGAAGGTATTATGTAGTCTGCGGTGTTTCTCTATCATTTGCATAAATTTTAATTACTCAATTTTCATTTTATTAATCACTATGCCCATTCAAAGTGGGATGATTGTCGTATCATACATTTCCTTTAAAGGAAAGCAATGTGAAATTCAAATAGCAAAATGACTTATGAGATTCGTAGTATTTCTTCTCGTTTCTCCTGAAAAAATCTATTTTCCAAGTTACTAGTTCCCCTGTCCGATCAAAGTGGTCAATAATTTAGGTATGGAGGGACGAGGGAAGTAAATGCTTACACAGAGAGTAGGTGTGAGTTTGGATGGCAGGAAGAGATTGGGGATAATAGGAAAAGAAAGTAAGAAATGGTTGATGGTTTTATACTCAGAACAAGGCATCGTGTTGTGTGGAATGACAGCGTGTCATGCTGAATGACATTGTACAATTTCGTATGCATGTGGATGCATCTATATAGTTTGATCTATCCGATGTAATATCATTTTGTTGCTTGAATATAGAGAGCTCAAAAAATCTCACTCTTTTAGATTGAAACTCAAGTTCACTTTTGAACTTTTTATCATCTATAGATTTTCATGTCTCTTAATAGTTTCACCGAGTTGTGCAACTCCCTTTCAAATAGAAATAAATTACGGAGTTTGTGGATTGGCTTTAAACTTTCAATGAATATGTGTAGTGTAGAACCTCAGATATCCTATGATTATATTCACCTGAGGGTACTTTACCCAAAGTTGAGGAGATGTTTGTGAAAAAATTACCTTGATTGCTGTACTCTGAAGGAAACTATATGGCGGTCACATCTTATCAAACTCAAGCCCAGCTGGTGCTTAAGAGCTTTGTGCTTTCAGATTTGCTCACAGTTTATAGCTCGGTTATATTCAGCATTTTAATGTGCAAAATGGTATGAAGTCAACTGGTTTCCTTCAATCTTAGTAATCCTTTTTTGAATTATTGATTTTTTAGTAGAACAAAAATATATCTGGACTTAATAATCATGAACATCATTGATGTGCTAAATGATTAATTTTAATTTTTTAAAAAAATGAAATCAGGTCTATAATTTCAGTGAAATGATTACGTTTTACTGCTATAAGGGATACTCCAACCTTTCAAAATCCCACCAGATCGAGTGGAACAACCGGTGAGTCAACATATACTCTGTATTGTTTAATTTTTAGTCTGTAAGTGTATTGTTCTTTATCAAATTGATGCTAACCATAATTTTACCGTGGTGCAGTGCAATTTCGACAGTGCACTCCATCTTCGTTACAGCAATGTCACTCTACATTGCATTCTGGTCAGATTTATTTTCTGGTGATCAGCTCTCTGGCCTGATCACTTTCCGAAATTCAACTTTATCAACATGTGTACTTGGAGTGAGTATATTGTTTTCTCTTTTTCTTTTAACCTAATTCGTTTCAAAGTGCATGTAGTATTTTATGCACTAAAATCAAGAAATCGAGGGCTTCACCAGTGCTTAAAAGTTAGGGAAGTCTACTTTATGGAATTAATGTTATTTCTCCTCCCTGCACTTCGTAATTTCGGACAAGTAAATCTTCTGTACATGTATATTCTTATGTCATTCCCATGTGCATTAGAAGGACATTAATATCTTCTGTGTATTATCTTAAACTTAAAACTAAATTTGTTGGAAATAATATCAACTGAGTCTGAAAACCTAAGCTAGACTTCAGTACATGCGTTGTTATTAGATTCCAAAGCTACGAAAAAACCAGTGCGTATTTATATGTGATTTCACTTCCTCCTTTCTATTTCTTCTGATGATTCACTTTTTGCAACCATGAAATCTTGACAAGTGTGGTCTCAACCAAGTTAGCTCGGATGTTATTGTTAGATATTTCATGGCGACCTCACATTCTGAATGATATCCATCCATCAAAATTTCAAGTATGGTCACCTTCATCCCAACTAGGTTGGGGTTAGTGACATGAAATATATAGTATTACTTGTGTAAAATTAGTTAATACTGCAAATTTATGCAGAAAAGCATAGTGGCACCATTTTTTGCCGAATGTCCTTCATATAATTCTAGGGAATAATGATACTCCCTCCGTCCGACAATTGATTACAATGTTTACTATTCCAAAATCACAATAACTTTTGAGGTGGTATTTAAATTAAATACTCCCTCCATCCCACAAAACATTACCCATTTCGATGTATTGAAAAAAATTCAGAATTTATCTTTGTTTTTTGCAATTTGTAATCAAAATAGGGACGGAGGGAGTATAAAATTCCAAATCTGTCATCATCTTAAGTTTCTTCCTCTTGTCATAACCATGCCCAGTTCACAAGATCGCAACATGACCAAATCGTGTCATTTTTTTGCCATCTTTTTGGCAGGTGTCTGTGGGATACTTCCTCGTTGATCTTGCTATGATCATTTGGTTATATCCTTCTTTAGGGGGAATGGAGTATGTAAGTGGTTTCCTTTTGCCCTTTTGGTCATTCTATTGGACAGACCAATTCTTGTACAACTCTGACCACATTGAAATATGCCAATGTTTTTTTCAGGTGGTTCATCACCTCTTTTCCTTAACAGCTCTAACATATGCTATGTTGACTGGCGAGGGACAACTTTATACCTTCATGGTCTTGATTTCGGAGGCAACCACTCCCAGCATTAATTTGAGATGGTAGTACACATTTCTTGTGTGTGTGTGTGTGTGTGTGTCTTACAGTCCTATCATTGATGTGAATCTTGTGCTCCTGCATAGGTATCTTGATGTGGCTGGAATGAAGAAAACCAAAGCATATATAATCAATGGAGTAATAATATTTTTAGCCTGGATGGTACAATGAAATATTCCCTGATGTTCCTAATATGTCCAAATTTATCCTAACCTCAGTCCTTGAACTAATCAAATTTGCTGTGTTTACATTGCAGGTGGCCAGAATATTGTTGTTCATGTATATATTTTGTCATATGTACCTCCACTATGACCAGGTATATAGCAACCTACCTTTCTGACAATCTGAGAACATCAAATCTTACTCCAGTAGGGACAAATTTTTAGCTGCAGCTATTGGTTGCTTAAAACCTGTTTGGCAATTCAAGGCCTAAAATGGGCAAAAGTCTATATAAAATCATCTAAAAACATTTTGCGAAATATACTCATCTTCTAATGAAATGGAGAAATTCTTAAACACCTGCTATTATATCTAATTTCAGCCAAAAATTAAAGTAACTTCCACATTACATTTTTATAATCAGGCTATGTGCCGTGAAAGTAGTTAGTGTTTGATTCAAAAAATGCCGCAATCCAAAAAATGAAATCCACCAAACGGACGATTAATCTCTCCCAAAGTTACCAACTCCCTCATATATATACCATCCTATGCGCTCAACTTAGTCGTCAGCTCTTCCCTTGCTCACAGGTGAGGGAGATGCACACATGCACGCTCTTCCTTGTTCTCGTTGTGCCATCTGGCCTAGCTATCATGAACCTGATGTGGTTTGGGAAGATTATCATGGGATTGAAGAAGACGTTGGCGAAGAGGCACTGATACCGATCAGGCTATGCACCCCATGAAAGCGGCTTCGGGGGGGGGGGGGGNGCACATAGTATGTATGCCAACAAAGAGAGACTAGGGGTGGTGGGACACTACATACCATTGCAAACATATGTATGCTCTCCGAGAGTAAGTTTCCTTACAACCGTAGGGTATGTCTTAATGCTCATTTCTCAAGAATAGGTTGGTATAGAATGTAGTGTTGGACATAATATATATATCTGTATACATAGAGCTTTTTTTTTATTTATTTATTTTAAATATCAAATTCAACTCCTTGTATATAACACAAGGAAATGAATCATTGACAACCTCGAGGGAGTATTTTGTATGGTATACTTTCTGAGACAAGTGACGATTACATATGTTGATATAATGAATGAAGGGTGGAATATACCCCGCATATTGATATAAGCATTTTTTTTTGGGGGGGGGGGGATAGATCATTAGATTGTGCAACGAATAAAGAGAAATGAGGAGGTTGTTAGGGCCTCTTTGATTAGTTTTGGAGATATGATATGAATTTTGAAACTAATTCTAAAATTTAAGAAAAGTAGTATGAGTTTTGAAATTTAAAATTAACTAGATTGTTTGAAGAGATTTGAAATCATAATTAAATTGGCAAGATGTTCCTGATTCAATTCCCATTTCTGAAAGCTTATCATGCTTTAGTAGAGTCTAATTTTTTTTATAGTTAAATTTGGGTTAGGCTATTAAACTTTCATCTTTTTTGGGTAGAGAAGAAAAGTAAGAGGGAAGGGGAAAAAAAGTGAAGCCCATGGTACAACTTTTTTCTCCACAATTGAGAAGGAACCAATAAGGCCCTTCGTTATGGGGCGTGTCCCCAGGACTTCACCATCCTCATGCCCTCTGTCAAGCTGCAAAAAAATTAGGAGTAAAAAAGGTGGAACACTTTGCACTTTGTATTAATGGAAGGGAGAGAATATAGGCCAATTTATTTTAGAAAATTAGAGTTGCGGTTGAACTACAAAAAATAAAATTGATATTAGTCCACATGTCAAATTTTGAGTGGAGGGGCATGCATGCCCATTGATTTTCAAGGGTACCGAAGAAAAACCCTTGTTTAATACTCCGAATTGTGTATATTTTAGGAGTGTGTTTTAAATGCATGATTTTTACCTAAATACGATCGGTTAAGATTTTTTTCTACTGTAAAACACAATTTTTTTTTTTAAAAAAAAGATATATAAGTGTGTTGGTTTGGACAAAAAAAGTGTTTTCGTTCAAATTTTTGTAGGAATCGGTTAAATATTTTTTAAAGAATAACTTTAAATACATGGCTTTTATAGTATATTTTTTAATTTTGTAAAAATTTATTTAGTATGTATTTTTATAAATGCAAAAGGTGATTTTTTTTCAACCAATTTATAAAAAATTAAATAATGGTATGGTGTAAATGTTTTATAATAATGGTATAGGCAAAAAAGGAGTTGGAGGAGAAGTTGTATGTTAGGCACACAAAAACTGATACGGAATATTTAAGAAATAGAAATTTAATAGTCCTTCATTTACTTGTCCTAATGCGTATGGCCTAATGAAGGAAATAGACAGGTGTAAACAAGGGTTGGCCCGTCTGGTCTGCCCAGCCTGCTTTTAAAAAAGGCGGATATAGATAATCTTTAATACCCACATGGGTGGGTCAGCCCGAGCTCAAATTGTATTTGAGCGGATCTGGAAGTCACTTTTAGCCCATCCGGGCCAACAGGCCCACCCATATTCATAAAAAATATTTACTTTATTATTAATTATCTAGCCAATTTAATTTTGAAAAATTGTTATAGTTCATGTATAATGGTTCAATTCACTCCCCTCTCTTAAACAAAAATCAAAATTCTTTTAATGAATTAGTATGATGGGATTATTAATTATGCAACAATACCTCTATTATGCTTTCTATGTAAATTTGGTGACTGGTGATTTTATAAATAATTTTTTTTAAAAAAAGAGTACATCTATTTCTATTTTTAAAAATGATAAATAAAACAATTATTAATTATTAAAATATGTCAAGAGTGTAAAAACTGATAAAAACAATAATTTGTCACTACATGACATGACACTCAACTCCCATACCACTTATTGATCGGACTGTTTTTAATTAGTTGAAATCTTTCATATATCTTTCATGTGGTCGTACTGTGTGGCATTTTATTCTTGACTTTGTCAATGCTCTAATTTAAGAAGTGGGACGAGATAAATACTCTCTTACATTAGAAGCAAATAAATCCAGGGGACAAAGAAAATTAGAAATGATGTACCCCACCAATGAAAGAATTTTTCAAATTTGCACTTGCGCAGTAGTGTCCCAAGTACTCCAAAGTCCAACCCCAAGTTGTCCAATCAAGTTTTCATTTCTACATACAGATTATCATTTCCCACCTTTATCCCTCTGATGAAATCCTCCAATCTTATCCATCATATGGAGGTTTTTGGATTAACATTTGTAACTAGTATTTTAATACGAGTTATAAATTGATTTTGAATATATTAACATTTTATAATGGTAAATACTTCCAATTTTCATGTGGCTTAATTCCTTTTTTTATTTAAACCAAATATGACCACAGCCCTAGAAGACATAGATCATGCTAAATTCATCGAATCTGTCATCTATATGTCTAGCTTTGTTGAATTCTGGGAAAGTTCCTTCATTTAAGGAACACAAAAGCTGCAAAAGTATAGTTTCATACTTCAAAGCCCATGACCATTTTTCCCTTTCTCTAGAGTTCTTGAAGACATGTAAGTTGACTTTACAGCACTTCAATCCCCCATTTTCTTCAAGAATCTGCGCTCTGTGATGGGTTTTTAGTAGATTCTGAACCCTTTCTTGCGTTACATTTTTGGGATTCATTTAACTGATCCAAACCCAGATTCGATTGGTATGATCTGAGTGCATAACTGAAACTTTGATTTGTGAGCTTATTGTTTCTGAAGCAGGTTTGATTTCTCTTTATCTTTTGCACCTCAATCGCAGAGATTTTGGGTGTCATTTTTTTTACCATTACAACTGTAGTATTGTTTGGGCAATTGAGCTAAACATGGTGGACAGTGGGTATGAGTTTTCCTCACCGTCGAGCTTCCCTTCATCATCCTGCGTGTCGAACGGCAGCAGCGGGGGCCCACACGAGGCCAAGGACAATCTTGAGCTGTTGAGCTTGAGCAAGCTGAGCAATGGACTTGAGAGGCTGCTGGTGGAAACTGAGTTTGGGCTCTACTTTGATTGGGAGATAGTGGTGGAAGGTGTTCGGGTTGGCGTGAACCGATGCATCTTGGCTGCGAGGAGCAGGTTTTTCCACGAAAAGTTCAAAACCGCAATGGCTGAAGGGAAGCCTCCCAAGTTTTTGATGACAGACTTGTTGCCATGCCCCCTCGGTTTGGTCAGTTTTGAAGCTTTTGAGGTTTTGTTGAACTATTTGTACACCGGGAAGCTTAAGGCGTCTCCTCCCGAGGTCTCGACGTGCGTGGACGAGTCTTGTGTTCATCTCGCTTGTCGCCCCGCCATCAACTATGCTGTTGGCCTCTTATATGCCTCTTCCACTTTCCAAATGAATGAGCTTGTCATGCTTCTTCAGGTCACCTTCTCTCCCCTATGCTATTGTATTGATTGCAAGAGGATTAGTTTATGTTTAGAGTATAAAAAGCATTCTATGCACATTCAACCACAAGTTTGAGCTTTTTTGTCGAGTTGGTTCCTTAACATTGATAAAGACATTCTTGGGAATCCAACCACAGACTTTAAGCTTTTGGTTGAGTTGGAGAGTTATATCCAACATTTGCTAAATTTGAGAATGAATGAACTCCTTGATAACTATGAAGTTTTACATCACCTCTTGAGAGCTATTTTAGGATGAGTTCACACGAATATTATCCGTAACAAGTTGATTCATTGACAATTTATGTGCGCGAATGTGTTTGTGCAGCGCCATCTCGTCGACTTAGTCGATAAGGCTCTAGCAGAAGACGTGATTCCAATCCTCATGGTGGCGTATCACTGCTCGCTCACCCAACTTCTTGAGCATTGTCTTGAGACGTTAACGCGCTCTGATCTTGAGAATTTCACTCTGGAGAAAGAACTCCATTGTGAATCTTCAATAACATCAAAGCGCGCAGACTCAAGTCTCAACAACAACAACAACAACAACAACAACAACAACAAAACACTCTGCAAGCGGAATCTCTAAGGGAGAAGAGAATCAAGAGAATCTTAAAGGCATTGGATTGCGACGACGTCGACTTGCTGAAGCTCCTTTTAGTGGAATCCACGGTCACGCTTGACGATGCGTGCGCTCTTCACTACGTGGTGGCGTATTGCAACCCTAAGGTCGTGATGGAAGTGCTCGGGCTCCGTTTGGCCGACGTCAATCTCTTTAATCCTCGGGGGCACACCCCCCTCCACGTGGCCGCCAGGCGTAGGGACCCGGCGATCATCGTGGGACTACTGAAGCACGGAGCGTCCGTGGGGTACGGACATGATGTCGTTGCAACTTGTCGAAGGGTCACGCGTCCTAAGGATTATAACGAGCCTACGAAACAGGGGCAAGAAACGAACAACGGCCGGCTATGCATTGACGTGTTGGAGAGGGAGATGATGAGCCGGAATCCGGCGGACGCGAGTTTGTTCCTTTCATCATCTGCTGTGGATGATGAACTGTTTATGGGGCTTTACCTCCTTGAAAATAGAGGTGCAGAAGAGAAAAAAACCTTCTTTCTTTGCGAGTAAAATTTGCAGTAAATAGTACCAAAGCATTAAATATCGGATTCGTGTGACAGTGGCATTGGCAAGACAGTTATTCCCTCGAGAGGCCAGACTAGCAATGGAACAAGCAGAAGCAGGTTCAACCATGGAGTTTGCCGGGCTTTCATCAACAAATGGGTACTGTGGAAATCCGAGGGGCCGCGTGGGTTTCAACGATTTGCCATCTGATCAAGTCAGGAGACTCAAGGAGCGCCATGAAGCCCTGCAAAAGACTGGTAATTTATTAGAGTATATGATATTTCTTGTATGTAACATATATATATATATATATATATATATATATATATATATATATATATATATATATAGCACTCCATACATATATGTTAGTGTTAAAGGAAAGAAAATATCTGGTAGAACATTTGGAGATATTTGTGTATACATTATTTTTGGTAGCTTCCTTGTATAGGGTTGATTTCGTTTCCTTTTGTGATTAGGTTTCTCAATCTGTGAGAGCCTATATATACATGTCTACTTTGTAAATTGAACACAAGAAATCCAGAGAGAATTTCCTCCCAATTATTTTTTCATAATTCTTTCATGGTATCAGAGCCAAAACCCTAGAAATTTTCTACGACTACTGTTCACGATCGCCCGGCATGGCGTCCATCGATCGTTGCTCAGTTTTAGTCGGTTGTTGTTGTTGCCGGATAACGGAACGGTCGACCGTTGCTCTAGAACGGTCCAGCACGTCGACCGTCCCGTCGGCAGATTATTTGATTGATGCTGTTGTTGCTTCGTCCGCCAACGCCGTACGCCACTCTGCTACCGCCATGGTCGATGAAGAACCAAGGAAGATGTTTTTCTCGCTATCATCGTGTGTTTCTAGCTTGAAGCTTTCAGGTATTCCTGTGTCACCGCGGTGGATTATAGATACTGGGGCATCAAATCATATGACTGGTGATATTTCGTTATTGTATGATGTTGTGGGAATATCACCATGTGAGATTGGTTTGCCCAACGGGAAAAGAATTGTTTCTGTCCAATCGGGGAAGATTAAATTGACAGAAACATTAATTCTACATGATGTTTTATATGTCCCCACTTTGAGTTGCCATTTAATCTCTGTGTCACAATTGACAAGGGATTCGAATTGTGAGGCACGTTTTGCCAACAATAAGTGTATACTACAGGATCTGAATTTGAAGACAGAAATTGGTATGGGTGAGCAGGAAGGAGGACTTTATTACTTTAAGGAGC